CCACAGAGTTCCATTTTCCATTTAAGATGGATAAAATGTGACATATTCAGATTTTCTCTCATTAAAATTGATCCTTTGCACCACATTACAATGTTGAACATGCAATTATACATACATCTGCAGAGCCTATAGAATATTTTGGCACTGTCCATTAAATCAAATGTCTACAATTAAATAATAGATTGTTTGAAAACCACAAATCAAATGAAGTGCATTCACAGTGCAATGTTAACTCATCAATGCTTCTATTGTAGTTCAATTGCATACATTGCATTGTAGTCGGGTGAAGAATCTCGATATCTGACCGGGTCGAAAGTTGGAGGTTGCAATCATCGAACATGCACCACTGCATTGTAGATCATTTTAATTTTGGCTAACCTCTTTGAATAGGCAACACTACATCATTACTCTATTATAGTTCAAACACAAATTGCATATAAATTGAATACAAATTATATTGGCCAGTTTGGTTTAACAGCGAGAGGGATTTGCAAACTGCCAACAATTCAAGAAAATCCATCGTCTGAGCACAAACACATATTTCACAATTGCATTATGGGCTTTGATTTTCTCCGTAAATTCATAACTGGGTGTTATCTAAATTCAATCCTGGGGCGAAATTTCTGCATATTCTCTTTTAGGTGGTGAATTTTCTTCGGAAAGCACTTTCCTCACATATTCATGGTTTACTAAATTGCTCTTGAAAATCAATTTGTCTCTCATTGAGATTTACTAATGTATGTCTAAAACCTTAAAACCAGAGCTGTCAGCATGACTTATGAGACGTCGAGACAAAGACACTTAATTGAAATCTCATGTACATATTTAATATCGGAATTAGGTGAGTGTTGTCAGGAAACTCAAGCTGAACACATTTCGCTGCTCTTAATCTACACTTCCTTGCTTGAAAAAACATCTCATCTATTCTCTCTCTCTCTGCTACAATATTAATTCTGTGGATAGAAATGATTAGTAATAACTGCGTTTGGATGAAAAATACACATGAAAGGAAAAGATTTTCTCAATCATTTATTCAGAATCTTCAGAGCACCTTGAGCGCTGAGTTCAAAATCACATTCCTCCGTACATATGTGCACTTGTATGTCGAATAGAAAGGGAGTTCTGGACGAGGAAGGGAGAAGAACAACGAAACGGTTATAAGTTGTGAAATTTTTATTATATTACTCAGTTTTCCGTTTTGCGGGCAGAAGAAGAAAATTTGTCATAAAGTGGAAAGTTATAGAGGTTGTAAAACTTTTTCTCTGCTTGGACTTCGTGTGCTTAGTGCTTTTTTTCAGTTTGAATACTCTCTCACTTGCTATTTCTAGGAGAAGACGAAAAAAACCAGTACGAAAGTTGTTCTTTTTGAAGAACAGTCCGCCGAGCTTTTGTGTTCATTTCGTGTTTCTAACAAAGCAAAAATTTCTCGCAGATTTATAATTTATTATTGAATGAACTAAGAATGAGAGAAGAACTTGTGTGGCACAACCGAGTCGACGTGAGAAAAATTATCTTTCTAGGGGCGAAAAAAAATTAATGGCGTAGTGTAAATGAATAATATAATGCACAATGACGTACAATATTTACATGTTTCAATTACACAAGCGCGAATATTAAATTAGGAAGAAAACTCAAAACTTTGTGTTCAGTGCAGAATACTTTCGTCACCTCAGCGTGGCAACGACACAATTGATGTTGTGTCGTTAGCGGGCGAGAATGTGGAAATATTATGCAATTTTGTGCAAACTAAAATATTTAGAGATTAATTTTCTATGGCAAATTGCTCTCTACTTTCTATATGCTTTTTAATGATTTTCCATTGGCTAAATTCATGTGACTGACAAATTAAATTTTTGATTAGATAAATAATTCACGTTTAGTGCAGCAATTACGAAGGGCACGTAAACTTACCATCATGTGACATAAAACTCAAATATGATTTATTGAATTAGACGGCAATGTTTTTAGGTGCTTTTCTAATATGCATCCTGCGTACTTTCAATGAATTTTTGTGTGAAATTTCGACATTTCCTTATATCATCAAACTTAATCTTTTGCACATTTGTATAATAATACCGTATAATGCGTGCATCTTGTTGAGTATTTGCCCTGAGTTTCGTCGCATAATTTCAATATTGCTGGTGTGATTGGGCTTATGTTAAGTGGCGATTAGCATAATTAATATCTTGATCTAATGTCCTTACTCTGTTGCCTTTTGAGCCCGTTGATATTTTATGTGATATGCAAATAGGAGACAAGTGGAAAATTATGTGATAATCGACAAAATGAAGAGTTTAAATCTTGTGAATTGTCATTTTTGCTGTGTCGCTGAACAATTTATCGTGATATTTGTGTATGCTTATCAGTTGAACTCATATCCTCCGGCGTGGCTGCGGAGGGTCGTCAGGGCTTCTGAGGGTGGGTTATGTACATCCGAAATATATTCCAATGAGTGAGAGATTAATGGTAATTTTTATCACACGCAATCAATTTCATGGTGTGTTCGCTGTGATAGTGTGAGAGTGTCACGAAAATCTGTGTTTTATTTATTTATAAACGAATGAAAATTTTAATATTTAATCAATATGAATGGTGGCGGTTTGCCTGATGAACGAGAACAGATTTGTCACACTACTACCCCTCTTCAGCCCACTTTATTCGCGCAGTGAACAAAATTATTCTCGAATAGCTGGGTTTGGGTGATTGAAACTGTCACGCAACCAATTAAAAGTTATTTGCAACGTTAACCAATGATGGCATTAATATTTTATATAAGTATTCGTACATGCGAATTCTATGTGGTGGAACTTCGTTAATAGTAGACATAGCTTACTCTAATCCCATTACCTAAGTTCCATTTGCAATGCCAGATATTTGTATTTTGAAAATAAATGACCCCTGTTATGTTAATGCTAATTAAACTATTGGGAGTCTTCTCACTCGGTATTGTGCTTGTCTCCCCGAAAAAACATTTCGCCTCACATTAATCACAGGTTGTGTGTAGAAACACGATCATTAAATAATTATCTCAGTGTGTTGAATAATTGCATTATGTAAATGTCAATGGCATGGTTCAGTGGGCATAAATCATCACTCTTTGGAAAGCCGCCCAATCAATATCATGCAAAACATTTATTCGGCTATTGCTGCCATGGGGAGGATTAGCATCTTGTGTCGCACAGTTAGATCAAAGAAAGGTGACCCCATTGCAAATATTCTTCTTCGATTCATCCTATTAGATACATGTTATTCGCTTCTTCATTCAGAAGACAAAAAAACTCACAGTACTTTATAGAATAAACTTTGATTTCTCCTGGACAGATGTGAGCACAGCTCAGCGTTGCTACTTGCTATCGCGCAATTTTTAGTGAATATCTTTTACTTCGCCACCTGTCATGCACCCCTATTCGCCTTTCATGTTGTCAGGCATTGTATAATTGCATTTTAAAATGACAAAAATGTCTGGGGCTTTGCAACTACAGCACTATTCATTTTAAGGGTTTTGCACGTATAAGAGCCGTACAGAGAATTCAGGTGAGTGTATTAGAAATTCTGGGAAAGGTGGAAAAAAAGTAGACTGGAATGTTGTCGGAAATATTTGGTGTAAAACAGCAGTTTACCTGTGGAATTCCAAAAGAGTTCACCCCTATAATGCATTGAAGGTGTAAAAGGTGTGTCGCATAATTTTGTGGCAACTCATGAACGCATGTCCGCGTGTCATGCTCTCGCAAGCGAGCATTTCCTCTGGAGGTCAAAATGTCACGAAAAAATAGATGACCTCACGTAGCATGTATAAATGGGAATAGATATAGAATTTTTCCCAATTCATTCGCACATACACACACGATATTCGATTTTTCACGGAGAATCCGAAAGCGTGGTCCCACTTGAATTATAAAATAGCGTCTGCTGATGAAAGCCCATCAATTGTGAATTTCTCAACTGTACGCTTCGCTGGCCATCTTATCACTGACTCGCACTTGTGGTTGGGAAATTGGAGCGATCAACGAAAACTATCTTATGACTTCTTCTCATATTATTTAACTTTCCAACTGCAATTTTATTGCACTCAGCTACATCCTCCTTTTTGCCGAGGAAATTATTACACTCTGGTGGTTTCCCGTTGTTTTCCGGAAGTGACTTGGAAGCAATGTATTACATAGAAGAATGTGCGCCAAATGTGCTTTTTTGTCGAACATTTTTTTCCTGCACCGTGAAACTCGATACCTTCACCGCAGGTCGATGGGCAAAGGGGCGAGAGAAATTATTTATTTTCTCAAGTAAAGCCCCACAATAGAGGTGGGGTTGCTCATTGAGACCGTGCCTCAAATGGGCTGCCATATTACTTCAATAAAACTGATGTGGACAAATTTATAATTAGTTTTCCAGTATTTTGAGCTCCTATTACTGAAACACACCATAATCTCTGTGACTAATTTAAATTAGAGCAAAATTGAGTGTTAACATTTCCACACATCCAGCTGGCACAACTTTAAGGACATGTAGCTGTTTATGGAGAAAATCCTTAAGGATTTTCTCATGTGTTCAGAGCAATGTACAGCCCTATACATAATCTTTGTAATGCGATTACTAAAATGGAATTGTGTTGTGTGAAAATAGAAAAGGAAAATACTTTCATTGTGATGTTACATATATAGTTTTTCGGCAGCTTATTTATTTTCAGGCGATACATATCACAGAAAAGAGAATTGGAAATGTCGATTAATCGCATACTCACAAATCGCAATTTAAAAGAAAATACCATGAAGCTTTCGCCGAAGAAAGGATGAAAAAATGCAAAATGTGGAAAAAGGCTATTTCCAAAATTGCCAACACGTTTAAAGGACGCGAAGGACGTGATAAAGCGAAACGCGCAAAACGCTAAGCAGAACGATTCGTTAAGAAGTGACACCAAATACAGAAACCCTTCAAATGCAGTAATCTGTGCTAACTTCAGTGTATAAACATAACCCTAAAATTGCAACCTTTTTGTGAATATCCCAAAGTTTTCATTTTGGAAAAATTGCAATGGAACTGAATTTCTAAACGTGTTAGACCTCAAGCAATTGCTAGAGATAAATCTACAGGGACTTTTCGGCCGCGTGAATATAAATCAAGGTGAGAGAAAGCGGATGAATTGCGTCGTCAATTTTTCTCTGTGCCACCCAACAATCGTCCTCGGAATGTGGCCAGCAAAAAGTATTGCAATGGAGTCTTAAAATGGTGTGAAAAGCGAGGAAAGTGACATAAGAGGAGGCTTTATTGCATTGGTTTCTAAATCTGTTTCTATATTTGTGTAATTTCAGTTCCGGAAACTATTCAGTTCCTTTGGAAGCATCTTTTAACGCGAGCTTTTGGAGCACGCGCGTGTCATACGAACGGGTGAGGAATTGATCGATCACCGGACAGTTAGAACTGCTGCTGGGAAAACGCAGTATGTCATACGCTCCATGTCAAGATTCACGTTAGATCGCACGAAATTAGCTGGGGCGCATCCAGTGATGGTTGCGGCGGCTTCTGTATAGACTGCGGCAAACGTGAGTAACGTCTACGCTTGTTTGAGCCCTCAATACTTTGCCCAACAGTTGGACTTTTGCGTTTGTAAGACGTCTTACCAGTTCCGACGTCAATATCGACCACAGCGCCTCCACGGACATGACCGCCGCGACCACGAAGAGTTCCAGAGGCCGTCGGAGCATTTCTTTATCTACGGCCGCTGACCGTTAGGAATCACGTTATCCAGAACTTCTGCTGACATGCAATCGCGGCCACTTGATTGGCTCTGACTTCCATTAATTTGGCGCACATTGGAGCCGCTGGAACACTGATATGCAGCAATTAAGTCTGCATAAGACACTTCTTCCCACAAATTTTCCATACCTTGTTCTTTTTTTCCTTGTAGAATGACAGGCGAAAATACTCGCGACTTCAGTCTCGGTGGGTTTCCTCACTACAATGCCAGAGTGTGAAATTTTAGGGTTACCAGAACAAAATTTCGATATCTTGTCGGCCTGAATTATCGGGGTTTTTTCTGAAAAAGAAAAAAAAGGAAACTGATTTTGAATTAATTTATATGTATAAAATACAAATATTAATCTTTACCGGGCTCTGGTTGGTTTCGCTCAGCTGAAATGTATTCTATAATGGCCTAGGTGAGCGTTTAGTTTGAAATTACTATACCTCTGAGCCCACAGTGCAAAATATATATTGTCAACCAATTCTGTCTTAAGACGAGTGCACTGAGATACATACAATGGAGTATACTGAATAAAATCTAGGGAAATGGAAAAGTTGTTTGCCACAAGAGGGGGTCCTCGTAAAAGTTTTCCAATCAACGTTCCCCAAACTGAGCCTTTCGTAAAATCTCCTATAGACCGAAATCTCATACAATTTACATTAGCGTGTATCACCTCAAAAGCTAAGAGCACAGCTCCCAGAGACACTATTACGAATTCGCAGCTGGATTGAGATGTGCATGAAACGAGAAATGTTTAAGTACTATAATTTTATCTGGAAATGGCATCTTATATGTTAAATTTTTCCACTGAATTTCTTATCTCTTTAGCTAGATTCATAGCATTTTGGCGATATTTTGCTAAATTGAATTTCATGTTAGTTGAGAAAGTGGACAATTTTTTACATTTACATAAAATATACTTTTGCAATATAGGTATTTGGCAACTTTGACTTTTTACAACAAAAATTTTATGTACAAAATTACACCGTCGCTGCTAAGTTCCACTTTAATGAGGTGATGTCTAAATTCTCAATTTTCCCACAGCGCACAAGCGAATTCATAAAGAGTGGAAGTAATTAAAAGTTTATGCAGGGAATAATTCTAAATTGATACAGCAAATATGGGGGTGTTTGCATCAGTCTGCACACAATGGAGTTTCCTCATATTACATTGCACCAGATATTTATGATCAAATATGCACTTTACCCAGAGTTCCGATTTAGAATCTTCAGCTTTTAATAACACAATGTAGCATAAATATACTTGAAATAGTAAATCTATGTAGAGCGAAATGCAAAATTCATGATTCAATTTAACAGTTCTTTATAGAAGTTCTACTGGAGTTTGATCATGTACATATGTATGATATTAAAATTGTTACATACATATTGTATTACCTCAGCTACAAGTATTTTGACTGCAGGATCACCTGGTTGAAACTCGAGGGTGGATGGACAGAACGACTGTTGGGACTGATGGGAATCGGTGAATGAGGACGTGTTCTAAAAGGGTTTCGCTAATCGTGACTCATAAATGAGACAATCACTTTATAAGTCGCCACATTGAATCTACAGGAGTTCCTTCACGTTGCTTTCAATTTGTAGTGTATAAACTATTTTCAACTATAATCTGAAGAGAATTTATTTTCTAAAGTGGAGTAGAAAGGAATACCTGATATGAAATATTTCAATCTGCATGCTTGCTCAATCTTTGCAGCATATACACATACGTACGTGTGTATATGCATTAATGTCTATAACAATTCGCGGATTTACAAAATTCCTCTCACAGTGAGCAAATTTAATTGAATATTTTCATGTTGGCTGGCGCAGCCTGAGAATAAACTGAGGATTTTCATTCCATGTTTCATTTTCATTGCATTGTAGCAATGTGCAAATTATTATTGCAATTTTAGACCAATAAAATATAATGCGATTATGATTTATTGGAACGATCAATCTTCATTATGACGATGAATCGCTAATTAATTATTGCATTTCAAATGCTGTGCTCGAATTCAATTATCGCACGTAGTGCCTAATTAAATTCTTTACTGGTTGGTAAGGCAATAGAGATTCTAAAACTAGAAATACGAATGAATGTTAAAATCCGAATTGTCTGCTATCAATCATTTATGCGGAAAATTTTTATGCCAGTTGGAATATTTTTTGGTCACGGATGTTTCCCTTTCGCATATCTGTATTTCTCAGCTAGAGAGAAAGGATTCAATAAATTACGCCATGATGACGGTTCATAATTCTCTAAGGATCCCGATTTCCGCAGAAAAATACTTTTCAGGAGGGTAGATGTGGCTGAGAGATTTGCTGAATGCTAAAAAGATTGGAAAATAAAATTTAGAAAAATTACCATAGAGTATTGGATTACCTTTTCACGCCACTGCGTGTCTTCAATTTATCGATCACGCTAGAGCTTTAAGTTCTTATACAGATTCCGATCTAAAGCGTTTACAATTGAGGCTATAAATCTCGAATTGGAAGCTTCAATCCCCTTTTCAGTCAGCAAAACATATGATGTTATTTAAATGGCACAATCTCTTGATTTAGATATCACAAGAACACAGTGACAGAAAATTTTTCCCCAGACAAAAATACATTGATTGCTTGGGTGGCAACGGATTTATTGAGTGTCGTTAAGCTGATAATTTCTGTATCTGAAATATGATTTAAGTCTCATTGGCTGTTGGCGTCAAATATTAATATCTCTGCCATGTATAAAATTGCGATATAAAATCGCGATGGTGATGTACTGAATTCCATGCTGAATTGTTTTTGCGTACATGCCAATAAAAATCTATTGATGAATTCCCAAGTTTATTGCAGACATTTTCAATGAATTGGCTCAACAGTGTTTTACGCCCTCGAAATGGTCATGGACTAATGCTCGAGTTGTGTTCTCTCACCCATTAACATATAAGGCACTTAAATATTAATAAAATATTCGATGTAACAGCATTTTGAGACGTCTTAAGAGGAAAGAGTTTGTCTTTTTATGTGCATAAAGCCACTTGATGCGAGTCAATGTTCCACTTGATTGTCTATTGAATGAGTTGACAGACATTAACTCTGAACGACTATTGATTTCTTGATTCTATTGATGAATTTGCAGGGTCTCTATTGGCCCTTTATAGCCTCACTTCCATTGCAATGGCAATTGATTTTTCAACATAAAGTGAGAAAATTAAATTTCCATTAATATTGCAACTTAATTTTCACCGAAGAAAAATAGACAATGGAAAATTTTAATTTCAGGACATACAATTGGAAAATGTGACGTTCATGGTGGTTGGGAACAAAAGCTTCAATATACGTAATTCAAACTGTTTGGTTAGTAAACAGAACTAAACTTTCCCATCGTAAAGATGTGCAATGTTTTCTACATTAATTTACATCCGCAGCAAGGAGAAAGGCAAAGTATCATGAAAATTCGGTGTATGTTTGTACATTACGTGGAAATAGCAGTTGTATGTGGCGGATTTGGAATTGTCATGTCATTCCACAGTCAACCATGCCGTCTGTGAGGAAATGTGCGCATTTGAAAATACATCTTCTATTCGACCCCAAAAACCACGACATTCCCACTTTCCATACTCTGTAAGAATTCCAACCATAGTGCTGGTAACAGTTGCAGTCACCATTCAACCCTCTGGCTTATGTACATTTCAGGGGCCTTATTTTTGCGAGCTGCGCGTCTCTCCACAGAGGGCTTTTCCTCTGTGCCACCGAGAGCCAAGGTGGGGCCGTACGTATGTGTGGAGATTATGCGGAATTTTTAATTCTGGCAGTCGAAAAAATGCAGATATCCGCCGGAAAAAAACATGCAATATAGCACATTTATTCATTGTGAACATGCTCACAGACACGAGTGTAGAACATTGTAAGTTCGTTATCAATTCCGAGTGATATTTCAGTATATGGTCTCACTCAAAATAAATGCAAATTTTCCGTCTGTAGCCCGAGCATTACTTCCACACTTGCTCCTCCGGCTTCGACGTAACTTGGTAGAAAAATTCCAACACTTGTAGTGCTGAAATGTTGGGCCAGTGACTCCTGTAAAAGAAAGACACGCACGAGAAATAATCACATACTTGCTCTCAAGCAATTGTAAGAAGAAGTCCATCAGTTCAATTAGTTCTGTGCAAATTCATCTATAGTCTTTAAACATTTTACAACAATTTGACGAACGACTGTGGATTTATTTCAGAAGTCACTGATGCATTGTTCGAAATTTCTTCCATATAAGTGAGCGCATTTCACTCCTTGAATGGGTGTTTAAAATTAATTTCCCGACATAGAGGAAAAGTTTTACAGATAAAAAGTTGAAATAGGGAAATTTATGTTATTACATATATGTGTGGCATTACAAATACGATACAAAGAGGTGCTCATCCTTTGTTGATACTCTCGCCCTGCACAGCAATTTTTATTTTTATTATACACAAATATATTTTTTGCACATTCTCCAAGGCACCCGCCATAATGTTCCTGTTGTTGAGCTTTTCTATGTTGTATGTTTTATTACCTTTTCGCTGGTAGAAACATTTAAGAATAATCGATTCGTATTTCAGCAATAAATTTTCTATGCGGTATAACTCGCATATGAATGTAGAAGGCGATAAACTTTTTATTACCTTTACGGAAAATAATGATAAATGCGATCAATGGTTATATGCGTGTGTGTGGATATATATAAACAATTTTTATGTTATCCTGCAGCTTTTTCTCCGCCAATCTTACATAAATAAATATTTGAGCTAATATTATTGTCAATACGTCGGTAATG